ACGAGTTTCCGCTTGTACCCGAGTGTGCATATCCCTTCGGATAGAAATAAAAGCGAGCTAATAAGAGGTCCGATGTCGCACGAATGGAAAAATGGGTGCATGAAAAGTCTGTAAATGTCGCCCTTGTCCTGTTTTTATAAAACGCGTTTCAGTGTAATGACATCGTTTATAATTGATGAAGGAAAATTGTTCTTCGAAAGACTGTGATCTTTCATACTTAAATCACTTAGATTGACGATACTTACTTGTGTGTCCGCTAATTAAACAATCGTGAAGTTTGCGGATCTAGGTGCTCGGGAGAACGACAAGAAAGTACTCGCGAAACTTTTACTTTCAACTCGTTTCATTATTGTGCAACCGGTGCAGGATAGGCGATATAAAAACCGAGTTGGACAGAAATTACTTACGATGATTTATATATCAGAAGAGTTTTCATCGAACTTAGCTATCGAAAATTGAAAGAGATTTCTTCTCTGTCCTTGATATTTTAATTGAACTAAATGTACGTCGGGCGAATGAAAAAATAATCGTAAAAATATGATCGTAAACCGAGTTGTAGAGATTAAGTCGGCAAATGAAAACGGGTTATCGACGTTCAAATTCACTTCATAAAGCTGAAGCGTTCGAGAGGACGAAGAAGGGGAGCAAATATCCGTAATGTTCGATAAAAAGGTTCGTCCATCTCGGTAACGTCTCTCTGGTCGGTTCAGCAAGGTTGCTTCGACGAACGCAACGTCTAACTGTTTATTCTACACGCCGTACGGTATCCGAACAACGCCGCATCGAACGCCAGTGTGGGAATTCATATTTTCAACCGGTTTGATCGTTTCCTATCACTCCCTTCACCTGCAACCTACGAAATTCGTGCCGAATTCAGGGTCGAGTCGAACGCGCTCCATTCAGCGTTTCGTTCTTTCACTCCCCTTATCAAGAACGTCGCTTTAAATGCGCACTTTTAGTTTCTTATATTATCAGCTCGTGAAACGAGGGACTATAAAAATCTTGTGTTGTCACGGCGTTGGTGTTACGCCATTTGTCGCTCTTTTGAGGTTCATCCAATTTTACGATCGGACCGGCCATTCTTGTCCCTGGCCCGGGGAATATTACATCAGAAACGTAATTTCCGCGAGAGGATCCAGAAATCCAAAGTTCTCCGTGTCTCCCAGACATCCGATCTGCCAGCCTCCCGCGCTATCTGCGGAGAATTCGCGTTTCTTAGGCCGCAGGACGTAAACAAGATCGTAAAATCCGAGTGGAGAATCAGCTTCGTTCCACGAACTGGGACGTAACTCGTTTCTGTTCTCAGCTACCTCCGATCTTCGACCAACAACAACAGTCCATTGCGTGTGGCCATTCTTCCCCTTCGTTTGAGTAAATTAAATTTCATTCAAGAAATTGTGAAGACAATGGAAAATCGAAATGAAATCTGAGTGGAACCTCTCGTAGAAAAATAAAAGTCGATTATGGTAGCTCTTCTGTATTTGTATAAAGGAGAAAGGAAATGGAAATGTTCCTTTCAATCTTTGAATCTCCTGTTCTTATCATTAATACATTTCTTAAGGAGTTGAGACTAAGGGTGAGCGATATAGGTCATCGTCTGAAGATTCTCGTTAACTTGGTATTGGTCCTCGATCCTTTGATTCTTATTAGGATTCGGATCGTGTCACGGTACCAAATTTAGTGACTGGATTTGTCCAGGACTATCCAGTCGGTCGCGTGGCCCAGTGACATCGTTCTCTTCTTTGTCACGTAGCTTGTACATGACCCATTGCCCTCGACTGGCAATGACCACGACGACGACGCGACGAGACACGATGTTCCCGTTTGTTTTTTCTCACCTTCTTCCTCTCTTAACGCTACTAATCATTTTCACAGAAATGGAATCTCACATCACGCTTTTATATATTGTATCAAACGGAAATAACAACGGCTATACTTTCACTGAACGTCGAGTATTAATTTCCAGTAAGATATTCCAGGTTCTGAGTGCAATGATTGACTTCGGATAAAAATCCATGCGAAACTTTCTCTTTACTAAAATTAAACTAACAATAAAGATAAACCTGAAATAGTGTTTACGTTCGCGTATGAAGAATCGATCGAGGAAAAGTAGATTTTAATTTCATATTGAATCTGTTTCAGAAAGGCGAAAGGCAAAAGGACAGAGACGACATGGAATCGTGGCTGAGCGACGTGCAACGCGTGAGAATTCCACGGCCGAAATTCGGCAGCGGGAACTCGGTGAGGCGTTCGAACTCGACGGTTCAACACGTGCGACCGGAAGTGCTCTCCAGGCAAGTTCAGGACGTGGCTAAGGTCACGGAGGAGTTACGGCAAGCGCTCCAGGACAAACTCTGACCGCTCGATCGGACGATAGATCTAGGGCCACCGTAAACCGATTGAACATGATCCATTCGCGGGATTATTCGATACACGCGAGTCACGTGCTTCCCTACTTTTGGAGGACGAATCGTCTCGTGTGTCCGCGACGCGACAGCTGTCTGAATTATTGAGTTAGTATAAAGAAAGAGGACGGCGATCCTCTTGGACAAACGATACTGGGTGGTCTTCCGATTTTTTAGTGATTATAATGAATTTTGTGGAAAGAAGAAGTAAGGAAAGTTGCTGGACAAGGGAAATTGACGTAATTCCTCTTAGTACGCTTGTCAAAGGCGAAACTATTGCGAGATTATAGACATAATACTAAAATATTGGTCATTCGAATTTTAAGCGCTATAAAACTTTAATACAGGTATGCAATTTTAATAGGAACGTTGGTACTAACTGAAGTTCGAAGTTTATGACAGTTTCGAAGTTTAAAAGTTTCTCGAACAAATGGAATACATGATAAAGTTGTTGATAACCAATATTCGAATGATTAACATTTAACGCAAGATCATTGTCAAAGAATGTATATGAGCCTGTATTAGGAATGAACGTCGTTCTCTCTGTAGAACTACCTTTCAAACGCTATGTACAATTTACTAATAGTTACATCTTTATTACGATATAATTTCTGTATCGAGAACGAGCTTTTATATTCACGAATCTTCCTTCCCTAACTTATGTACACTACTTCGATGTTAAAAGAGACTGAATAAAAATAATTTCTTGTTAATGCTAAGCTGTGTTTTCATTTTATGTTCAACTTTAAAAATCAATTCATTTTTCAATTGATTAATTGATAAACAAGATAGTATCCTCGTTCCGAGGTATCTTTTCAAGAACGTGTTAAGCACCTTCGGTCAACGATCTTCACTCCTCGATCCCCGATCTCAAGGCCAGCTTAATTCTTAACCAGCCTGGAAATAGAGACATTTTGCAGCCGAGATCATGTTCTATGTGTAGTCGTAGTGATCGATCAGGGTTGGATGATAATTAATTCAAAGGCTTGCGCGCCCGTGAAACACCTTCCCTGGACAATTCTGGAACCACGCCTACGTTCGAGTGATACTCGGATTACGTACACATACTTATATCACAGGAGTATATGTAAGTACATGGTCGCAAGGAACATCGATCGAGGCTCGCGTGATCGCCGTCCATAAATCGAGCCTCGTTTCGCCGATCGGACCCGTGAGAAGATCGACCGCGATCGAGCTGGATCATCGTCCAGCATCCGCACGATTTCGGACCGATCACGCGAGGGAGGTGATTAGGATCGAACGCGTGACCCGACGACGTTAATGAATTCAACTCCTGCTGCTGTACTCGTTCGAGATGTTAGCTGACATCGAATCATTACGGCACCCAATGATTCTTCTCTAATAATACGAGCTTGAAATTTTTTTAACGATGACGATCCTTACCAACAACATGAGAGAGAGAGAGAATTGTACATGAACTACAGATAGCTCGTCAGGATTTCTCTTATCACGAATGTTGTCAGAATGCAAATTATATGGGAGTTAAACGTTTCTAAATCGAGACACACGTTTCGAAGTCAGTCAACGACGCGGTGACTAATTAGGGTGGCTCGTTACTCTCGCAGCTGTTCCTTAATTGCTCGATTCTTGGCAGGACTACAATCGAGTTAACGGTATCTCCTTCATTTGAATCCTACAGTTCATTGACTCCGTGTTAATCGCGTCCGCCTGCTCAGAACGGAAAACTTTGACAAAGATCTTCTGCAATATCTCACGATTAACCCAAAATGGTACAATTTAATTTACCGTCGACAGCATCAAAGGAGTAAAATTGAATATCTGATAAAGGATTGAAGAAAAAACACTTTAAGAATTGTTTAAGATATAAAATCATTGAGCGTTTCATGTAGTTATGCATTTTATCTGATTGAAATTATTATTCATTTGATATATGCAATTGGTTTATGGTTATTTCGCGATTTGATGTGCGTTTCTTTTATGCACTTCTATTTTAAATTAGATTAAAGCTGGTTTGATCGTTAGTTTCGGATAAGTACTATCAGAGAGGTTTCTCCGCTATCTCAATTATCCGTTTGTTCTGCTCTCGTGCGCATCGTACATGTATATTGTACCTGTACTGTATCCTACCCTCCTTGTCTTGACATTATTACGCGGAAAATACTGGTAACCATTAGCGGAAGACAATTTCCGTTCGCAACACAGCAGCTCTACTGCTTTCCTTATTGTTCACAATATTTTATGCACGCACGTGTAACATAGCGCTGTCTACACGTTTAATGGTAAAGTAAATATTAAATTCGTGGAAAACGTATCGCGTGTCTTAGAGAACAAGAGATTGGATTGTGCATTATCGAACTTGTAGTTAAATTCAACAACTGTTGGAAATTGTTGTTTGAAAATGACTGCGGCTTAATTATCTGTCCTAATTATATCCACTCCTGCTGTTAAGCATTTTCTCTCCCGCCGATGAAACAACAGCATCGACGGGTTGACGGGTTTGTTTCGACCAGTGTGAACGAGAGGTTCGCGAAGAAAAAAAAAGAGGAAGTATCGCCAGAGAAATAGTTGTGAGGGGTACTTGAAAAATGATATATCGACCAAGAGCAAACTCACCAAATTATCCGGATGAAGATGGTGATGGCTGTACTCCCTCGGGTTACCCCTGGACCCGCCTGGCGAGCTGTGCCTGCGTCCTCTCCCGTTCTCGAGATCGTCCTCGTAGTCCTGCAAAAGAAATCGGCGAACACCCCCTTTATCGCGTTTCTCGAACGTTCTCGAGGGACATTCTCCTCGGAGAAAGGAACGAAACGAACGACGCAGACGGTGCGTCTCAAGAGAAGAAGGTTCGAGCTTCGAGGCACCTTCGAGGATTGAAGGTAGAAAACAAAGTATCCCCGAACGATTTTCTTTTTTCTTTTTGTTTTTGTTGTCTGTTACCTGAGTGTCACACTCGTCGTCGTTGGAGAGGGCGAGATCGGAGGTGGTCACTTGGTGCTGGTGCGCCCTCCTGCAGCCCACTCTGCAATGGCCAAAATTCCGATTTCAGACTACCCACCACCCTCGTCGAGACTGTTAATAATCATCAGCCTCTCTGAACACCCTCACGATTCTCTCCCGCTTTACTATCCGTCTATAGACTTCTGTCGGACTCGCGTTTCCTCTCGACTCGTTTCGCGATGAATCTACGTGTCCGTGTTCGACCTTGTTTCTTATTTTACAGTGTATGTATGCATGTGCAGAATTCAGCTTTTCGTGCCGGGTCTCGTTCGTTGGTCACGTGTCAACTGAATATTTTAAGCGACTCATCGATTTTCCGAAAAGAACCGATTTCTCGAACACGGCCGAGCGCTAAGAATATACGTTCAAAATGCCACGCCACTAGGAATCAGCTAACCACTGGCGATTAATTAATTTATCATCGGTCAGAAGAGACTACAATAAGGAATTTAAGGATGTCGTGTTTCCTCACCGATTTAAGTTAGACAGAGGAATAGAACACATAGATATAGATAGGAAGACCGACAAGTAAAAAAAGCGATGCAGTTATTTATATGCTTCCCACCAATTATTTAATAGGCACCAGTCATATACACACACACAAAAAAAATCATGAAAATACACTCTCGCAGGTATTGCATACCAAATCTATTTTCGTACGGCTCGTCCTTCGCAGATGCCATCGATCCGCCGATCAATCAATCGCTTTTACCGTTAACGTTAGAGCCCGTTAAATTATAAAAAGGATTCTGTTCGTAGTCAGACACGTACTGTCCTATTACTCTAAACGATAGAAAATACAACACGTCACATTTTAAAATAAATTATACGACGATTTAAAAATGAGTTGTCGGTCGTCTGTCTACGAAACGAAACGGAACGCCACGGTAAATAAATCTTTCGCTGAATCTTCCAACACTGATTTGTTTCAACGTTGACGAAGCAGAAAACGAGGATAAAACGAAGACTGAAGTTGTAACTCTGGTATGCGAGCCGACATCTTCTCTCCCACGGACACGACCGTTTCGTTCGCGTTGCTATCGCGCTACTGTTAACTCTCTCCAAGCTCATTTGTTTCATTTCGTTACCCGGGATACGACCTAGCGTTAGAACTTCGACCGCAGAGCGAAATTTTCAAGGGCCATTCGTACCGCTCTTACACGTATGCATGTGTAATTGACTTGCTTATACTTAGATATCTACTAAGAATATCTAATCTAACATTGCTGTAGTTTATAAAATTAAACTAGGCTTTTTTAAACAAATTAAAATAGTTATATATGAGAAATGAAATATTTTACGTTATTAAGTAATTATGTTAACATACATGATTCATGTTATTTGATTTGGCAATGTCATATTCATCACACAACGTACACATTATAAGAATTGCTTAAATCATGCATTGTAACAACCCGTTCAGACGATATGGCCTTTTAATAGTTTTACTGAATCGTTAATTCCCGAAAGCAGCGTTCATATGTTTTCGTATTTTAGATTAGAGTCGCATTGTTATTGTTGGTTTTAAAAATATAACATGTAGTTATTTATTTAATCTGGGAAAGGAAAATTCAGTGCCAGAGTCAGTTTAATCGGTCTCGTGTAAACAGAAACTACAGTGGATACAAGAACAAATATTCCATGTTAATTCGATTAAACTCGTGTCCCCAACCTGAATTTAAATAAGAGGAAACGATAACTTGCACGCGATACAAGTACGATTCCGGAGAAGAGAAGTCAATGTTTGTTAGTACAAATTGGACAAACTTGAACGAAATCTAAGCCGCCTATGAATTTCCATTCTATCCCAATATAAATAACATGCACGTAGTTGGATACGAAGGTGAGCAGGGACGGTGTAAAGAGAACAGAGGAACCGATCGATGTTGAATAATAAGACCGGAAATACGATTAAACGTTCCGTGAAAGCGATAACATTCGTCGAGTTGATCCGACGGCCAATAATCTCTGATACCAACCAAAACCAATATTACTCGGCGAAATATGCAAATCCCATTTTCCTATGTTTTCGATTCCCGGTCGCGAACGCTTCATATTTTACCGGTGCCAGTGCCAGTGTCCGTCGCATACAGTCAGGATCAAAAATAAAAAATTTTACAGAATGTGCAAATTCTCGTGTCATCTTTTTACAAAATTCTGTGGCATAAGATTGCACACGTAGGATATAATCATTTTCTAATTGTTAATCTATTTTACGATGTTACTAGAACACTAGCTTTGCGTTGCCACAACGGTTATAATTACTTTTGACTCTCGCTGTCTATCGATTCGACGAGAATTCACTTCTGTCCAATTCCGTAGAACGACACGTTAGTCCCGAGCCTGTCCATCAACCACCGTCCAATCTCTATCCACGATCCACGTACGGGGTGTACACAGAATTAATCGACCCTGCTCGTTTCCTTCACGAATACTACCGAGAACTTGGCACGGCACCAAGCAAAATTTTCCGCAAGATAAAAGACAAGTTTATCCGGTATCAGAATGCCTCTTTTGCATCTGACGTGTTTATAAGAATTTCAAATGAGTTTTAATGTCAGGAAGAAACTTGGACGTCGTTCTCTGAAAATTCTCTCAGCTGACCTCTGAATAAAAATCGATGGAACGCATAATAATTATCGTTGAGATCAGACGTCTAAAAATAAAAGCCCACCTTCTTTAATTAAAAAAACGACGCTTAACCCCTGTCCTATACTGCCCGTGTCGTTTTACCCGCACAATCCCTGCTGGTGGAGTCCGGCGGAATAATCGAATGATTCACGGAACTGACCACCGGTACACGCCTGTACATCGACATCTTGCGCATACACCCACGCGCGAGTTACTCACGCGGGAATGACTAACACACGATCCGAACGATATTTACCCTCTTCGCATCTGGCTGTCCGTGTACATACCTGCTACCAGTCAGGTGGCGCCGAAGGGGGTGGTTAGATAGACACTAGTGTCAGATCGGGTCTGCTAGGAAATGAAATATCGATGTACCTCGTACACATCCGACACAGAAACGCCATTACAGTTACCCTTGCTTATATCTATCTCACGTATCCTTGAGTTCCTTCCTAATCCTCCAATGTTTTTTTTTCTTCTTTACTCCTGCCTTTTACTTTTTATTGAGACTTGGATTCGAAAGTGTGGGGATCAATCGATAATTGGATTACTCCGACAGGAGTATTCGAAGTGTTATTTGCATTTAAAACGAGATTGTTTGAATTATTGAAAATTATTGTGATTTTCGGGTGAACAACTGTTTTTAAAAATAGGTGATTCACCGAGGGATTGGATTTTTCTATTGTTTTTACTAGAAACATTATCGCGTTTCAGTGGAACTCAAATTACGGACGATTTAAGAAATTACCCTAAATTACTGCCTGGACCGAACGAGAGGGTCTCACATTCGAGAAATCGGTTCTATCGAGACAATTGACTCGGCTCGATTAAAACGAACCAGTGTCATTTCACCTGGACGCTCGATTTAGCTTTTCTTGAACTCGTATCGATCTAACCATGTATATGCGTACGTGTGTGTAAGTGCAATGTGATGAGTCCTGAAATGCCAAATATCCTGTGACGTCGCTCACCGACCATGAATTTTGCAAAGACGCGGAGGAAAGTCGATGGTTCGAAGTGAATTAAGAGAGCTTAAAGCGTGTTCGGAAATAAACGATCTCCGTTTTCTCGTTTCTGATCGGAATCTTGAGCCGATCGGACCTGGTTCTGGGCATGTCGGCCCCGAGACCGCTGTCCTCGCTGGGCGATCTATATTCCTGGTTATCGCGCGGCAAGAGTGGTCCCGTCACTCCTAGTGGATCTCCCTCGACGTCCACCAGTCGTCCCGGACGGCAACAACCCCTCTGCGAGAAATCACCAGAGATCCCGTCATGCCGTTCGCCCCATTTCCCACTTTTCCCACTTTCCCACTTTCTGCCTGGTTTCAATGGCCAACGAGCGCATCATACAATCCGACTCATATTTTCTGCTACGTTACTCGTGAAACATTTTCAAGACCATAGCCGTTATACAAATTTTTCAATCGTTCGCATTCATCGCCGTTCGCACTTAAGAATCGAACGGAACGACAGAAGAGAAAGCCAAGTATCGGTTTTAATCGAAAGGAACGCTTTTCAAACAGGAGGAACTGAGTACATTGGGGAGGGGAAGCATCGTTGACAGATCATCAAACTTTCTAATTGAATTAGCCGAATCGATCGTTTCGACAGTTTATCTCACCTCCGATCGTCGTACTCGTCTATTAATTAGCCACAAAAGCGGTGGTCAATCTGCCAATTTAACCACGATTCGCTATCGATCGGCAATTATGTTATGGCGTGTGTGGCGCGTGGCACAATAACGATTGTCACTGTGCAGATGCCACTTGATTTACAGTGGCTTCCGGTGACTGTCTTCCCGCTTCCCGTTTAGTTCAAAGATCACGAAACACGTGGCAAAGCCCCGTGAACCGTGAAACCGCGGAACAAGCTCTTCGTCATTAATCAAATGCATTCTATCGATCATTCGACTAGCCACGATCAAAACAATTCGCTTCCCTTTCCCACTTGCTCAATTACAAACACGCGCGAACTGATAAAATAAAATCTCTTACGATATCTTGTTAATCGTTTAAATAATCAAACTAAAGTTATTTAATAAAAATAAGCTACATTTAATTATAGAGAAATTATAACGAATTCATTGTACTCGAAAACATTTATATAATTTGTTCGCCCCTTATTTAGTCGGTTATCGTCTGTCAATAAAACTCGGCAATTGAATTCAATAAATTACTCAGGAATAATCGCGACCTTTCACCTTTCTTGATTGAGAGCATCGAGCAGCGAGCATCGAGCATCCTTGTTAAGGTCTCTCCAATTAGAACAATTAAGTTTTGCTAACGCTCGAACGGATTTGAAACGAGGAACGAATAAAAAGGAGTTAATAGCTATCGGTGGTAAATCTGGAGCATCTGATAAGCGTAACGTAAACGTATTGTGAAAGAAACAGCGGTCGTGGAAGAAGGCTGTGAGAATAACGATAAGTACACGGAAGAAGTATGAAAGGAGTTACAGAGAAAAATAAGTAAAGAAGCGCGAACGAGAGCCAAAGGTGAGGCGGTTTCGTCGAAACGCAGGTCAGAAACATTGTTCCGTTGGACAGAACGAAAGAAAGCAGAACGTTTCTGTACGCTCGTGTCGCTCGTTTTCTACGACTCGTTGGCTACGAAACCGGCAATCGGCGAGCTAGCCCGAGCTTTGGACAAGGCTGGCAGGATCCTCGTTTCTTTTTTCCTTTTCTTTCCTTTCAATCGACGATCCCGTTCTCGTTTTCGTTTCTCGTGTGCAGGAACGGTTAAAGAACGTGCGACCACAGCTCTGTAAAGCTTTTCAGGAAACTTTTTTTTCCAGCCACACCTGAATCGTGACGCACGCGATGCGATTAGGCCTAGGCCGATCTCCAAACGAAACTATTCTTAGCATCTTGCGATCGAGTGCGTGATGGACAAAAAAGTATTTAAGAAACTATCTTATATCGATGGCAGACATTTCTGTAAATTCTCTTTGCAGCGATTTTACAAATTCCATGCCGGATTTTCGATGAATCGATATCAGAACTGATTCGATCACGCATTCGACGAAAGCAAGACATTCAACGAAACAGAAATCCAGCAAAGCTCAGGCGAACTCGTTCGAGAAATATCGCAGAATCTGTACTGTCTCCCCCGGTGTGGTTATAGCGTGACAGAAAATAAAAACAGAAGACAAAAGGCAAACGTCATTCGCCATTCGCATCTACCAGCAGAGAAATTTAGTTTCTCAATAACTGCCCATTTTCAATAGCTAATTCGCGTTGAAACTCGTGCGGACTGTATGTATAGAAATATTTGAAGCCTCTGTCGCGCAGCCAATTTTCCGTCGCTTTTCTCGCCGTGAAACCGAATATGTTTCAGTGATTTGAAACGTTTACTCTGAACGACGAGACTTAATTGCTCGACATTCGATACTTCGGGCTTCGAATATTCCGTAAAAGCACCACGGTAAAGCGTTGCACAAACAATCTAGACTAAGAACACGTTAATGAACACGGAAACCGGAAACGGAGCGACGCACTAACGCTAAAGCGAAATCGTAAAGCGAGACAACAAACAGATGCAGTGTGTTCGAGTAGAGAGCAGAAGCAGATTAGAAAGAAGCGCTTTTACGAGAAATGAAATAAGAAGAAGAAGAAAAAGAATAAGAAGAAGTATAAGAAGAAGAAGAAGAAAAAGAATAAGAAGAAGTATAAGAAGAAGAAGAAGAAAAAGAATAAGAAGAAGTATAAGAAGAAGAAGAAGAAAAAGAATAAGAAGAAGTATAAGAAGAAGAAGAAGAAAAAGAATAAGAAGAAGTATAAGAAGAAGAAGAAGAAAAAGAATAAGAAGAAGTATAAGAAGAAGAAGAAGAAAAAGAATAAGAAGAAGTATAAGAAGAAGAAGAAGAAAAAGAATAAGAAGAAGTATAAGAAGAAGAAGAAGAAAAAGAATAAGAAGAAGTAGAAGAAGAAGAAGAAGAAGGGGAAAGGGTTGCAGAAAGACTCCCGAGTCATGCTTCTCGCAGGTCACCGCGTTAGCGCCGGGAGCAATTAAGCAAAAACACAAAAAGTTCATCTCCTCTCGGATCGGCGGATCTGGTAACTCGATGATTCCATTGGACTTGGACATTCTCCAGCCACTTCCTTCGTCTTCCCTTTTGTCCTCTCTCCTCTCCGTTACCTCCCTCGCACCTCTCCAATCAACGATCAGTCCATTCCGCCCTTCCGATATCATTTTTCCTTCTTTTCATTTCGTTTCGTGCCCTTCCCCAATCAAAAAATTATTTCCATACATCCGCGATACTAATTGGGTACAATATTTAATAAAGGGTACGAGCATCCACAAGATCCCCTTCTTCGAGCGCGTTTAATACTTACTAAGAAAAGGGTAATCTTAAAATGAGTTCGCGAGAACTCGGTGATAGATCGTGAAAGAAATGAAAACAGGGCAATCACCAGGTCTAATAATTAAAACTTAAAACAGTGGGCAACACAGAACAGAGTGAGATAGATAAGTAGACAGAGGAACAAAGAATTTCTATACACGTCTCAAAACAGAGGTAGAGAGAAGATAAATAGAGGAGAGAGAGAGAGAGAGTAATTGTTGCGTTTTGTGTGTTACTCGTGTGATCGGTGTGATACCAGAATATGTTTCTGTTCACTTACCGGAAGGTCGTGCAGCGATGGCGTCACTATCAGATCCGAGTGGGCACGGTCACCTTTTCTCTGGAAAATGCAATTCAATCGAAATTCGTTTTCTGTTACAATTAAATCAGTAATTTAATCAAGAGTCTACCCGAACCGGTAATTACGATGCAGTAATTATTACTTCAATTTTCAATCGCATTAGTTTCCCTCGTTGCCAATTAAACTAACCATTTGACTGTATATCAATCTCTTTCAGAAATTATCGATAATTAAATTATATCTTGCGAATCATTAATAAAATTCTGTTTACTGCTCGTTTACTGAATGAGGCACTAGTAATTCAAATTGGAATATCAATTTCGATCTACGTATAATATACATATACGTGTGTATACATACAGTACATTTACATATATGTATGTATGTGTAGTATAATGATAGTCGTACCCTCGCCATGGCTACCCGAGGCCTGTAAACCAGATCGTCGAAGGCGGCTCTATCTTTGGCGTCTACGAGTTCCCTGAGCTCGGTGAGCAGCGTCAGCTTCTCGTGGGTGTTTAAAAGGTCGCCCAAGCTGACAACCAGCTCCTCGATTGTCATTCGGCGCGTTCTGTAATCCGCCAGAAGCTGAGAAAGTGCGGCCCTCTCGCTTCTCGCGAGTACCACCCTCGCCTTTTCCTCCACCATCGCAGCCGTCGCTGCCGAAACCGTATGCATGCCGCCTCTGTATCTCCAGTCGCTGGCAATGCTAAATAAATCATCGGGAAAATGTTGCTCTTTCTCGAAGTTTCAAATTTTCGAAACTCGCACAATAAATATAGAGAAAATTATTTAATTATTCAATAAAATGTGCTATCGTGGGATTGATTAATATTAAGATTTAATTCGATTGTCGTCTCCATCAATTATGATGGTTTATGGTATAGAATTTTCTTACGTAGGGCTCGGTGGTCGATGGTTCCCAGGACTTTCGAGCAGCATGGGATCGTGGTCTGGGTACCTAGAGGTCGGCATGACGATCGGTTGACTCGTGGTGCATGAGTGCGGCACTTTTCCCACGTCGCGGATAAGTAAAGTCATCCTCTTGTTCGTTTTCAGGATCTCCACTGCTTCGTCGTGGGTCGCCTCCTCGAAGCTCTGCCCGTTCACCTCGATGATCTGATCACCCACCTGGAATAAAATATTTTTGACAGCCGATTATTGTCACATCGCTCTTATAAAGAAGGAACTATCGACTGCCGTGGAATCTTGGTTGATCGTTAACGTCCGACCGTTTAAGCATCCACTTTTATCCACTTTCGTCATCAAAGAGTTCTCCTACCCAATCTAACGAGACTTACTAATTAATTCATCCCGACGACCCTGACAATCGCTGAGCCAATTGATACCATTTAACTCGTCGTTCCACTGTTCCCGCAATTAAACAGTTTATGAGTCAAACGAATATTGCGTTACAATTTGATACGTAAGAATTTTCATTGTTTAAATGTTGATCCATAATCATGACTACTACTACAGATTGGGACGAAAATAAGAGAGAGCGAGGATCCTTACCAAAAGTCCGGCTCGATCCGCGACACTGTCCTTATCAACCCCAGTGACGTAAATTCCAAGGCCGTACTCGAGGCCGCCTCTGATCATCAAACCGAGCGACTGACCAGGTTCGATGCATAGCTCGACTTTCCTCGTTCTCGGACCGTACCTCGGATCCCGCGGCGGATAAAGCGGCGGCGGCGAAGTCGGACGACCCTGACGGTCGATCCAACTGCAGGACTGCTGACGACCGCCGGACGACGACCAAACTGGATGATTCCCCCTGCAACGGGGGTTCAACGCCGGTCCTCGCACGGTCATGCTCAGGGTCCTACACGATTTCAGCATCTGTAAGAATTCATGGCCCCTGATCGATCACTTAAATCAATCGTAATCATACCGTTTTCTTGCACGGAATTCATTTACTTGAGCTTCATTAAGAGCAGAATGTGTGCAATAGATTAATTAGACAATGAACCCCCACTTCTGTTATAACTTTTAAAAAGTAAAAAGCAATTATTATCTAGAATAAGAATTCGAAATAATAGACTCTTCTCTATTCTTGCTAAACGGAAAGACATTATTGATCTCGATTGGAGGATGATAATGAGCTATTTCCAAAAGCGGAGAAACGAAGGAACACCTGTTCCTACACGTAGAGAGTACACATAAGGATCGTTTGGCAAACACATCGTAGCAGGTACGTGTTTGACATCGGTTCGGTGGGAATTGACACGGCATGCGTAAGGTCAACAAGGATGAGAGAGTGCGTTCCGCGGTGACGCCAGACGCCACTCGGCAGGCACCGGTAGCCAGGATATCGATTCTCCCGTGGTGGCCGGTGACGTCACATCCTGCCTATCCTTGACCCACCCAGCCCGGATCACATCCTTAGGATTCCGTGGTTTCTCCTTCACCAAAGATCCACCGTTCCTCGACATTTACTAGCTAGTATCTATGCCAGGCATGTGCTACCGTCACTGTTCTTCTGTCGCGAGAGCTCCTTCGGGAACGCGTGGAACTTCGCGAAACCACATGATCGTAAATGATCCCAGTTGAAATTACACTCCGCTAAAGGTACACTCTTAACTCTAGTCGCAGTTAATGTACAGACGAAAATTGAAATACACCGGGAAATGCGGTATTATTAATTATTTCGTCTGGCTAATGTTGGAGATAAACAAATATTCCGACTCTCGACAACGGTTTCGCGGGCAAGTATTAGCTAATTAATATCATTTGTCAGTTACCCTCTCGTTGGAAAGCCACGAACAAAACGTTCATCACGTATATTGTACACAAAAGAGAAGGAAGCGTGGATTAACTCATAGGAGAAACAGCTATTATTGCTATTATAACCATTTCCATAATAATTCTATCAGGCATATATGTGTACCACGCAGTTGTACAATTTTCCTAAAAGCCAGAGCTGTTCATAATCTGTTGATGCTTTCACATGTTATTGCGACTCTTAAGCGGTAAGTAGTACATACTGGTTTTAGTCAGACGCCTTGTGAAGTATCGAACAATCGATACGACTGCCGTTTCTTTAATTTACCTTTCAGCGCAATGCGTGCAGCAGTATTACATCGCAGGTAGGTAAATACCCTCAGCAAATCTGGCCTGCAAAAAACCGGTATGCTCTAATTATTTCGCTTTCATTGGCGCCAAACACGCGAAGGCAAGGGCCAAAGACGTGTACAGAAAACGAAACGAAGCGTAGAGCGGCGTGTAAATTACGACGACCATTCAGAAGGTTCAGCGGAACTTTATGGGTCGAGTGGATCACGGCGCAATTTTCATGGCCGTTGTGTCTCTCTTCTTCGTGGGGGCGGACCGATTGAATAAATAATTCACGAGGTCGAAGGGCATCCGAGTGGGCAGAAAATTCCTTATCGTGTCCTGGCCGAGCCGACGCTATTTCCGTCCGACCGACGACGTCACACACGATCTTCTAGAGGAGGTGGAGGAAGTCTCGCGTGCAAATACTTCCCGTCCTTCCCGACTTCCTGCTGAACCGGAAGGATTATTTCGACAGTCGTATTGGTATCGGCCCACGTCTTTCGTTTCCGTGATGTTTCTCGATCAACTCGTATCAAGATCGAGATAAGATGGATACAATCCGATTTTTACGAGCTTAAGCGGATGAGCAGATCCGCGCTTGAGTTTCCATATCAATCCTTACTCCCACTTTTTAGAAATGCTCTCGAACGAAACATTTTGAAAGGGCACGCGAATAGGAATACTTCCTCATATATACGTCCCACACATTGTAAATCAGAGGACTCCCACATTTGGCATGATACTGTAATTCTGTCGGACGTACATGCATTTGTATTCGATATTTATGGACATTTATTTCCGCCATCTTCACTCCAACGCGATTAAGCTTCCAACTTCTGGGTTAAGTGTTCCTTAAACAGCCAGCTGTGCACTATTCTTTCTCGGCGATGACAAGATTTTTTTATGACTCGACCGTATAAAAAAAGATGGAACAAAGAAGAGGATTGCTTAACGAAAAGAAGTCGCAATAATCGCGGGATTGCCAATTCCCTTAGCGAACGAAATTAGCAATTTCCATGAAAATCGGTGTTCAGGTCGCCGCCACGTCGAGTCGCCGACAAGGGATTCAATCACTTTTCGAAGCGAATTCTCGTACGACTTTTCTGGGTCAAGTATTTCCCTGCGATGGGGATAAAAGGAAGAGGGCGAATTTATGGCTGCCTATTCCTTCGCCGCTTCTTAAGGGAGGGAATTCGCGTTTGTTGAACGTTGTCCGAACATGCCAATCCGAAATAGAAGTAGCTCCCGATTATTTATGCCCCGGTCACGGAATTTGTGACTATTCTGTTTCCCTGTATTCCAATCGCAAAAAGCTTCTTCATTCTCGTATATGTATTCTTCTGTAGAATATCATATTTTGTGAACCAGTTACAATATCAATATAAATATTGATCAAGTCGCAAGGAACCTTCGAGAAACGTGGTACTGTATTTTTTACTACGCATTGCAAAAGAAAGTAGATGCCATCGTCCAAAGAGGAAAGCACTATAAAGAATGCAACACACCCTACGAGTTTCTTCTGCAGCTTTTCAATTTACATCGGAAAATAATTTTTGATCGAAACGTGGAAGCAGAAAGAAGTCAGACTTTCTTAAAAATAGAAGGAAAAGGCGGCCTCTGTTCATGGTATGTATTATTGACTGCACGGTAGGTATAATACTGTATATGTAGATGGTGGCGGCAGCGACGGCAAACAGGTCTTTCCTCGACACGAGTTGGAACGAGGGTAAAAGGAAAACGATTTCGGATCGATCTATCGCAGTTCGCTTCCCGTAAACGTGCTTCTGTGCAGTCGAACGAGCGCATCCGTTTGTCTCTCGCGATTCCCGCAAACGCGACACGTTTCTCGAACAGCTACCACCTGCACCCAAGCACCTAACATGGTAAGCTTCTTGCATTATATAAGGTTGAAAATAAATGACGGGAAATTTGCCGACGCTGGACGTTGCGTCAGGATGCCTGGGGATGACTGGCGCCGCCGAGTCGGCGACGAGACAGGGCGTCGAAGAAAAAAATTGCAACCGTCCACGAAGGGAGACTGATAGTCGTTTTATGGGTGGATAACGATAACAGCTCCGTCGATTAATTTGATGAATTGATTCAAGAAATAGGCTCGGAGTGTTTTAACCCTGGTCAAGAGTGATTTTATTTGCAATTGGTTTATTCGAGAAATTGTAAAGCCACATTTTCATCAACACAGAATAATTAAAGTTAGACGATTCAGTGAAACGAGTAGAACCGACGAGAGAAATTTCAGCTCTTAAAAGCTCGGGACGTATGTGATGGGCACGTTACTACTGTCTGACCTTTGACGAACTGTTCTACTGGTGCCGTCGCCTGGATGCGGGACGCGGGACACGGAGCGCGGCCGAGAAGGTTGCAAGACTCGCGAGACAATAAACCGAGATTATACGTGACATTTCAAAGTACATAAATGCATACGTGTATCCATCTGATTCATAACAGTTCTTTACTTCGTATAAATAAACAGATACTCAAGTGTCAGGTATTTTTACTGTACCGTCGAGTAATATTTCGCCGCGTTCAGTTTCGGTTGGGATTTATAAACGAAAAATTGTAGCAAGAGATAAGAGTACGTTCGTTTATATGCAAAGCCTTACGCGGAAGCTCGCGCCCAAAGAATACAACTATGAATCGGAAACTGGTAATATGAAAAGAGGAAATGCTTGAATCAGCCATTGCGAAAGGTTCGGTCCAACTGCGATAACGAATAGCTCGACGCTGTCATCCACAAGCCACGGCCCATGAGTCCAGAGTAGATACGAACACACCGGAAACTTAATCCGTGGATCGTCGAACTGGGTCAACCATTTGAGCCATCGCGCGTCGCGATCGTTCACGAATCGTGGCTCTTTCAATTTCCGGAGTCACTCGGGAAGGGTCAAGGCTGTGCCTTCGTTTTTCTTTTAATTGACAAGCGCGCTGCTTTAGAGATTCGCCATGTTGCCAGGCATCGCCAAATTATTCGGAAGGGAACTTTCTATAAACGAAGAATCGAAGTGGCTTAAAAGGGGCGTCGATCGTATTGGTCGCCAAGGTTTGACGTAGACAGATCGCTAGCAATCCGCCGAGAGACATTTTTCACTACCACTAGTCACCAATCTTGTTTACTCTCCCCGATTTCCTTTCTTTACGTGTACAACTTTCAAGGCCGCACGGAATCGCCAATTTCTCCAGATTGAATTCTCTATAACTTCTTAAGCAGTGTACAATAACTTCTTAAGACAGGAAAAAAAGATATCTCTATATCCACAGACGAAGATGTATTTGGACTATCCAAGAGGACAGTTGTCTGAAATTTGAAGATCTTTTCCATTGGTTTTTTTTTATTAAATCATCTTGGAGAAAAAATGAAACACCACGAATTATCTTGACGAAGTCCTAATAATATGAGATATCCAGCGAATAAAATATAAAATTGTCTGAATGCATAATCTCCTATTTGTAAGGAAGGAACGATGCGTATAAGCTTCAAGCATGGTCGAACATTATTTGTATAATATTTTTATTATTCCTACGGGAATAAAGGGTTGACTGATAGAAACGAACGAATCCGCGTGTTCGAAATTCCGTGGCGGTTTTCATCGAGGCCTCTTCACTCGCCACCGAGCCAGCCTGATACACTGATGGCCCATTGTCGACAGTCTTTTGTCTAGAAGCTACCCGAGCTACTATGAGAGTATGACGAGCCACCGGATCTCCGTCCCCAGAGATACCCATCAGAAGCGTTTACACCAGAGATTTACTCGTGGCGTAGCTTCGAGCGACGAGCTGCTTTCCATTCGGCTCGCCCTGTCGCGGTCCAGCCTGGTCACAGCCAGTCGATACTCCTCTCTCCCCGCCTTGCCCTGTCTTCCTCGACCCTTTTTCGTTTTTCATGCTTTCAGCATGAATTTTAAGCCTCGATGACGACCGACTAAAAAAAGAGACTTCGCGCTCCATCGAGCAAAGTCATTGATTATGTCCCTGCCCTCTGTCGAATATCTTTTCTCCTTTTGCTTTCGTTGTTTCTGGGCTTAACTGAGGAAATCTTTGCTCGAAGAAACAATTCCTATTCTACAAATCTCTCCCTCTCCTTTTAATGCTTAGTTATCGGAGAAAGTTTTTACTTTTCTATACGATTTGCTCTATTCACCTCTTTTGCTTTTACCATAACTGTCTTAGGATAATACTCGGGGCGAGATAACTCGTTTAAGAAAGTACATTCTTAAAACTTTTACTATAACGCGATCCCCTTTTCCTCTGTCCGATATCCTGTAATCTCGGTGGGTCGCTTCGTAACTTAAATTAAATAACGCGGCTGAATCTTGCGAAATTTTTGTTCTTTTTATCCATAAAATCGAATCGGGAAGCGCAAGATACCGTTAGCGAAGCAAATTGAAAGGAAGGCGATACCCGTAAATCGTTCATTCAAACAAGGATTGCGTTTGTATCCAACGAATAACTGGATATATTATACATATATATTATATTGAGCTTCTTTGTTGCGAACTGTAATTAAATCTGACGAAGGAACGCGGCCGAAAGTTATGAAACTTGGAATATTGCAATACTTTTATATAAACCCTATAAAATTTCTCAGCATCTTCGTTATTGCTCAACTTTGAAGGAAGTGAAAAAATAAAAATAAAAACGTGAAACGTTCGGATGATCACTCGTCAAAGAGACTCGTGCCCTACCCCATAGGTATATTGGCCCGTATGCACATAACATCTGTGTATACATACATATGCAACGTAATCTAGCTGAGAGCCCGGTTGGTATTTGCGATCGATGTGGTGCGGTCTTAAGGTCACTCATAAATACGAAACTACTCACTACGATCGATTGCCCACCAATGGCCAGGATAATTTAACACCGATTTTTACGTAGCAGTGATCAGGCATGTGGCCAACGAGCCGTGTTCGAAAGATATCCCAAAATCGAACAACACTTTCGGAGCAGATTGACAGAGACAAAAAGCGGCCGCACAGGCAAGATTATTTTACAATATTATCTTTCTATATTTTCTCAGACGAGACTGTCAATTGTAAAGATTCGACTATTATTAAATAGATAATATTCATCATACAAATCTTATTAAAGATTGTTTGAGTAATGAAATGGCAAGGGAAATTCTGTGTAACTATTGGAAACAACTACGTATGGCTTGTGATATCATAATTACGTGAATGACTAATGATGTATCACAGTTTTGAGAATAAATGTGAAATAGAAGTGGACTCACTTTGAGGGCCTCCTCATGGGTCACCGCCCGGAAGGGTGTGCCATTCACCTCCAAGATGGTGTCTCCTGGCCTGAGTCCAGCCCGTTCGGCCACCGAACCCTCCTCGACCCTCGAAATGTAGACACCCACCCCTGAGAACAATTCACAGACTTTCCATCAGGCCGGAAGCTGCCTGGCGACCGATCCGCGACCAGTGCTCGTGAAGCTCTTCTACCCAGGACGCGTCTTCTCGCGAGAGCGCTCTTTTAGGTACATTCGTACTCCATATTTAACTTGCGAGTGTACCCGCCAGTTTCTCTGGGTGCACGCGTACTTAAACGTTGAGCTCGTAAATATAAGATTCAGCGGTGAACGTGGCGGGATTAAAAATGAGGGCTGAATAATTATTACCGCGTAACGTTCAGAAATTTTCGCAGATTAATTTAATGCCTGACTAAATAATTTGTTTGCACACCCGCTTTATCCAGAATGCAAACAGATCGTTTAAACAGATTTATGTGTGTAATTCATGTTAATTTTCCTCTTTCGAATCCAATGTTTATTGCACGATAAAAATGTAAATGGCTTAATTAACGAAACTGTATTTTAAAATCAATACGATGAGAATTATGAGAAAAAGTTGAACGGTAGATTTTGGAATTATTTCAATCTATTGACCATAGATAGATAGATAGACGTAGGTATAATCTGTTCGAGGATAAACCTGTAACCTGTATTGCGAACCGAAATTCAAGATTCCATAAATCTTGCCCCGGGAAATTGACCCGTTAAAATGTAAAGGATTGAACCACTCGTGAAACGTGAGCTGGTCGACGCCAACACAGCGTAAAGCTCCCATTTTTTAACCAACCAACGTATTACACGCTACCTAAGTAAGCACTTACTCACGATTTACGGTACTTATTGCATGAAAACGCCATGGGTAGAAATTCAGGTCGCGTTTTCGTGTTGTAAAATGTAGAACGGAAAGAAAACAGCGAAAGGGAGAACCGAGGGCGCAGAACGAAAGTACAATAGAGAGATATAAACAAGAAACGAAAGGAAACGAGGTGAGCGCGGTGGAAGAAAAGCAAAAGGGATGCGAATGCTAAACGGTGAAACTCGGGAACAGAGATTACGATCCCGTGCCGGTGGGTGGTGCGTGTTCATTCTTTTACCTTTCGCGAGACGTGACGGAAGGGCGCATGCAAACGATTTTTCTGCGAGAAATATTCGTGACTCGCCTGCGACCTAGTCGCAATTTAAAAGCTCAACGAGGAAGAGAAATTATAAAACGTATTTCTCCTTTGTCCTAATTTAATATACATAGAAACGTATGGTAGTTACCCTTCGTTTTTCAAGAAACTACACGCAACGTAAATTTAGGTCTCGTCTTAGCAGGCAAAAGTCGTGTTACTTCCGCAGAAAAACAGAGAAAATGGACGCAGTATGTTCATGAAGTATGGCAGCATGTGATGTTGTAATATTGTTGCAAGTTGTGAGAATGGAAACGAATTGCTGTATGTTAATCTTTTCCTAGAACACACGCTTTTCTTTTAAGCTTTTTTAATTTCTTTCGGAACGTGATACTTCATAATTCCATAAGTGGGTCTCTTTAAATTCGGTGATTTTCTAACGAACCTCTGATCTTTCCCAGAAATTTATATAAAACGGGAATGAAATTCTGGCAGGTGCAGCAAGAAATAATTAATTGACGGTAAAGTTTCCTTTTATTCAAAGTAACGGGAGCGATTGAAGAACGCGGTTGGATCCTCGTTAGCGTCGACTAATTAGGCAAAAGTTTTAAGTAACGGGACTATATTTAGTCGATAAAATTCCACGCCACGTATGGCACATCGATTGCACGAATTCACGTAATCGTATTAAGACATTTTTCCATTTTTTTTTTTTCTATAAACGTATGTAGATGTATTTACCGTTTAATTTACACACCCTGTTAAATGATAATTTCGCGCTCCTGCCTCCTGCACGCTGGGATGCAGATTACGTGTACATAACACAGGTAAAATATGTTCTCTCGTGCGTCTGTGTGTGCGTGTTTAAGTTTTCTTTTATAAATTCATAAACTATGCGCATGTGCACCATAATATAGTATGTATATACTGTCATGCAACGAAATGCCGGCGTGCTAAGCCTAGAGGTACTCTGGTAGTTGCCATAATTGCGAGATCCCCACGATAAATCGTTGGGAAGAACGAAGCAGCTTGAGAAAGGATTCTGCCTTAACATTCCTCGTAAGAATTCGAAGAATTTATCCCCTCGAAAGGAGAACCTCCTAAACGAATTCCTATTAATGGAAATTTGTAATTCTTATCCAAGTACATTATCTGAAACATTGACCGTGATTTATATTGAACGCAATCAACGTTATGTATACTTTGCGGTAAATGTTTCTCTTTAATTCAGATTTTGTTGTCAGGTCGGCCGTGACGGTATTTTAAAAAGGAGATGCGAATTTCCTCGCGGAAAGGTAGAGATATATGCGATTACATTTGAGACGAGAAAACAGTGAGCACGTTCGCGAGGCAACGTTCCTCGCGACGAAAAACGAGGTCATAGGAAGATAAACCCTGTTACACCATTCGACATTCTCCTCGCGCCGCGCCACCACCTTTTCTTTTTGTTAAACAAAAGACGCGACTCGCAACAGTTGTGCCCCAGTTGCATAACAACGAAACATAAACTATATTACGTATGTAGATGTATTTACCGTTTAATTTACACACCCTGTTAAATGATAATTTCGCGCTCCTGCCTCCTGCACGCTGGGATGCAGATTACGTGTACATAACACAGGTAAAATATGTTCTCTCGTGCGTCTGTGTGTGCGTGTTTAAGTTTTCTTTTATAAATTCATAAACTATGCGCATGTGCACCATAATATAGTATGTATATACTGTCATGCAACGAAATGCCGGCGTGCTAAGCCTAGAGGTACTCTGGTAGTTGCCATAATTGCGAGATCCCCACGATAAATCGTTGGGAAGAACGAAGCAGCTTGAGAAAGGATTCTGCCTTAACATTCCTCGTAAGAATTCGAAGAATTTATCCCCTCGAAAGGAGAACCTCCTAAACGAATTCCTATTAATGGAAATTTGTAATTCTTATCCAAGTACATTATCTGAAACATTGACCGTGATTTATATTGAACGCAATCAACGTTATGTATACTTTGCGGTAAATGTTTCTCTTTAATTCAGATTTTGTTGTCAGGTCGGCCGTGACGGTATTTTAAAAAGGAGATGCGAATTTCCTCGCGGAAAGGTAGAGATATATGCGATTACATTTGAGACGAGAAAACAGTGAGCACGTTCGCGAGGCAACGTTCCTCGCGACGAAAAACGAGGTCATAGGAAGATAAACCCTGTTACACCATTCGACATTCTCCTCGCGCCGCGCCACCACCTTTTCTTTTTGTTAAACAAAAGACGCGACTCGCAACAGTTGTGCCCCAGTTGCATAACAACGAAACATAAACTATATTTAATAATAAGGATCGCGCGGTACGTATTTTTTAGGTCCGCGTTTTATCTCTCGTAAATGGCAGCGATGAAATAATTTTTGCACGTGCTCGCGTATTAAAGAAACGTTAAAAAACAGTTCGCTCTGTTCTCGACAGTGCCAACGCGTCAGGGAAGAATAGAATTCGGAGCGTAGGCAGTAACGCGAAGATTAAAATCTTCTTTACTTTGATCTTGCGGTGGGTCTCTCGAGAGATCGAGTCCCCTCGACTTAGGCCGGTCGTTTGAGAATCGAGAGGAAATTCAGAAGACGTTTCCAGGCTAATCTGTCCTTATCACGTATGTACGCCGACGTTCTTTCGTCGTCCCCGAGGAAAGAACTGTACGTAATGCTGGAAATAGGCGAGCACGCTCCAGAGTCTCGGGCTGAGGCCCGGAAGAAACTGAAATCGAATCGTGATCAAGCGGCACGGAAAAGGAGACGAGCACAACAATCGATTCCGATCTCACGGCAGAGGAATCCGATTGATCAGCCACCTGTTCACGCGAACGTTACTTGAACTCCGATCGGTTGAATAAAATATGGAAACGTTTAGAGAATAAATTCTAATCTATAATTGGCTTCCTTTCTCTTGTGCTTCTGCTCGCCCTCTAGCCCCAAGCCCGGCCGATCTGCGCATAACACTTTCATGCGACATCGATCGTTAGCTCAGTGTGTGCGTGTACGTGTGTATGCGTCCGTCTATGGGTGTGTAAGTACATACACATATAGGCACATATAAATATGTGATCGTAGATACTCGAAAACCATCGGGAGATTGAAACGCGGCCTATGAGAAATTCGAACGATACGTGGAAACTGAGCTTATAATGGTCCCCGTGACCCCGTCGAGTGTTCTCCGAAATGACCTAAATGCAACAACGGTTCGACGAATCGATTCCGGTTCGGTTCCTTCGCGATTCGATCAATCGTGTTTCTTGCGACCTGCGAGAGTACACGAACGATAAATTGGCTCTGTCGATTTTTGTTTTTCAAACTGTTGATCGATTCGTTGATGCTAAAAATTTCAGTTCACGTCGTGTACCATTCACGAGAATAAACCAGTGGAATTTACTCGTTTGACTGATGAGGCAAAGTGTTAGAATGCACCAGGCGGTCAAAAGGAATTGTACAAATCAGCCGATTACCTCGTAGTACAAGACGTATTATAATAGCCCCTTGAAAGACTCGATTAAGCGAGTCTAGCTAGCGTGTACTGAACAGAGAAAGAGGAATGGCAACAAGCAGCCCATGCATCACGAATCGAACGTGGCTGCTGCAAGGATATAAATCATATCGATTAACGATCGTTTGCCCATGAGGACACATACGCACGTAGATCGCGAAGGAACTGTCTGTAAAAAGTGGTGAATCATTGCATAGAGGCATCGTGAGTTTACGTCTTTAATCATGCGTAATTTATTGTACACAGACGAATATACGTGCACAATCAACGTTTCTTTCAATCTCCCAATGATTATTTAAATAAATGCTAAATGTATCTTTCGTCCTCTCTCCTGATACATATGTATTTCACTTTCTCACTCTCTCTTGCTTTGCCTCTCTTTCTCTCTCTCACTCTCTCGCTCCTCGTTTTCTTTTTATTCCTTACATTCTTTCTCGTTCGTATGGTTGGTGATGAGTTACCTGACTGCGCTTCTGGTACAGCGAAACAGAAAACAAGAAAAGACACACCGCCAGTTGGCTTATTTCGATTTCGACCGGCTCTAAACGACGCCAAGGTTTCCAGCGGCACCGTCATGCGGTAGCTTTGATTCTTCGAAAATTACCAATCGATCATTCGACCTACTTTTTTCTCCACGCTCTTTTCTATCTGTATTCTACAGCGCACAGGCTATTCAATTCATGGACGGCGCTAAGCAATTTTTTAACTCTTCGTTTTTTTTTCGCATCGACGTGTTCTCTCGGCGATTCAAATACTGTCGAAGTTCTATTAATAAATTCAAGGATGTTAATTAGAATCTTTTGAAATGAAATATCGGTGTATCGTTATTAAAGACCAACGCTGCGATGTACCAAATTAATTTCGATATGATTTTCAACTGTCCTCAATTAATCAAGCGAGAAGAGATTCTTTCAACGACAATAAAGAGAATTTTCGAAGAAACTCGAGTAAAAGACACCCGGACGTCGTTCTTTGCCGGATACCCTTTCCCATCCCCGCGATAATTCACGGTCTCCCGTGACACGTTTTCACCTTTTCACGTCTTGACGCTTTCAAGCCGAGCAAGGAAACTCCGACGATTGACCAAAAGCGTGAACGAGATCGCCATTTATGGTGCGTAGTGTGCGGCAATCAAGCGTGAAATTTTCAAGACTCGAAAGGGTGAAACCGTCGAGGTCGACGCGACATATGAGGATGCTCGTCTGGCATCCGTGGAACATGGATCTCACGCGAAGTCATATCTATTTATTTATTCATAGCGTATCTAACTTTCGGCAAAATAATTCCTAAAGTCTTCGATTGGCCATTCATTTCGTTCGACGATCGTTCTTTAATTTTACATTTTCTTCAAGTGACTGTCCTTTCACTTATGAGATCCTCCGCATTCAAGTATGACGTAAATGCACGTTATTGGGAAATTGATACATAATTAACAAGTGCATTTAGTGCAAAATAATATTTAATGTTATCTTTTAAGAACCGTTTTGTTTATCTTCCCATCCGGCCATAAAGCATCGCGGAAATCAATATTAGAGGACACGTTTATACGCCGCGATTCACGCAGAATCGCTCCCTGGTGACCTCCCCATCACCCGTTTCCTCCCTAATATTTGTCCGACAAAACAAACCGCCCCTCAATCGAACACACCGTATTTCTCGCAAATTTACCGAGCCTCGCTAAACAACCGCTTAACGGTTAAAAAAGAAAAAAATGTAAGCGTTATAAGCCGAGCCAACAACTCGAATCTCTTTCGCCCCATCCCACTTGATACGAGCGGAGCCACTAAACATTCCCCCTCTACGATTAATATTTAACTTCACTTCCTCCAAACGAACCATCCGCCTCTTCCTCGTCCGTTAAATTCCTCGCAAACCCAAGCTTCCACAGGCAACCATTCCCGCAACGAAAAAAGTATTGATGAAAAAATAAAGAGATCCTCTTGAAGCCGCGAATAAAATGTTCATCCGGTTTAATTAATATTTCACGAATATTGGTTCTCCTTCAACTGCACTCGATATTTGAAACACATGCGCGCAAAATTGTTTTTAGACTTTTTTTATCGAGTATCCATTAGTATATCAGAAATAGGAAATATTTCGCGTTTTTCCAGAATAGTTGTATAAATACGAAAAGAGATTCCGTTGGCCATTCGTTCTTTCAATAATCCTTGCGGACAGAAGTAATGACTACTGATAACACTACCGTGTAATTATACGTCTACCCAGAGTTCGGTTCGGACAACGCGGAAGAAACGAATACGTGACTAGTCAGCAATCAGAGACGCGTCGTTAACTGTTTGCCGTGGCATCGTATCGCCGATCAATTAGCTAGTGTTGTTAATTACCGCATTGCACGCTGTAAATGTATATGTACACCGTGCACATAGGTATCTATTTGCACTAGTGTCTCCTATTGTTAACTTTTTGTCCATTTTGGATAATTGACACTTTTGCTATCGCTAACTAGTGACGAAATCGTAAGATTAATTAACAATTCTCAATAGAGTTTCAGTAAATAAATTAAAATTCTGTGGACCTAAGAATTTAACAAGGAATAACAGCCACTGTCGCCAGATTAAAGAACGATCAGCTGAACGAACTTCTATTGGTACAGCTTTTTGTTTATCAAGAAAACCCCAGCGCGAATCAATCATCGGTGAAAAGGAAAGGAAAGTGAATCTCAAATAACGTTTTCTCTCCTCGACGAACAAAATAATTACCCATATAATGTAAAGAGACTGAATATGATTGAAGCAAGTTAAAAAGCGAACTAGCCAATATGAGAAAAAGGAACAAAATGAGAAAAAAAAAATTATAAGAAAAATAAGATCGAGTATCCTAAACGATTTGAGACGAATCTAAGGCAATCGCGATCGATGATTTTCTGGGCCGCGTGCGGTGGGGTGGAAGTGAAATGGCAAGAAGAAATACCAGCGAAAGCTATTGCTAATTGTCTCTTAGTCTGTCTAATCATTCTTGCTTTGTTTTTGTTTCGAAAGATGCAGATACCTCGATCTTGAGGCTTGAAGTACGGCGACGGGGGTAGCCCAAAGGAGGAGGTACTTCGGATCTCACCTGCGTCCTTGCCACCCTTCACGCAGATCCCAAAGCCGTGAGAGTCGGGCGGTTCTCTCGTCATAGTGATTGTCCTTACGGTGAGCTCCTGCAGGCTCAGCGGCTGAGAGCTGGGCGACGTGGGAGGATTCCCAGCGTTCGCGGACTGCGATTGCTGCGACTGTTGGGACTGCTGCTGTTGCTGCGCATGGGACCCTGAGGACTGAGGCGTGTTTCTGACCGCGGCGACGCTGGCCGGCGACGATGCAGGCGTCCTCCTGTCGCCTGGTCGACGATCCGACACGCTGTTCCCGAAAAGCCTGCCCGAATCAAACCCCGCCCATATACGTTATCAATTATCCCCTTGATCCCTTGAAAATCCCAATCTAAATCTATCCTCTGACCCTGCCTTTCGTTCTATATTTTTATAACGATAAGTGAATATAAATCGAAAGAAACTAAGTATAGATGAAAGGTATGGTGGGGAAGGTGTAAAAAAGGGTGTTACAACGTACCTGATCACCTGTTCCGGTGAGATGGCGCCGGAACCAGGAGCAGTGGCGTGTCCTCTGTGCCGGTACGGGGTTGTGTGCGAGGAGTGATGATGAGGGGCGCTCGGCGGCCTCTCGACGATCGTGTAACTCGTCCCCGGTGGGCTGTAATAACCCCTGTGCTGACCGCCATGGTGTCTGCTGCTCGGCTCCAGGTCCTCGGCCTCGTAGCAACCGCTGGTGCCGCTTCTCCCTTGCAGGAAGTGAGAGCCGCTACGGAGGAAATGCGAACCGCTGCCAGCGCCCCATTGCAATTCTTGCAATTCCGATCCGTAATCCTCCGTGCTGCTGGCCATGCCTCTGCGATCCGTTTTGTCAAACCTGGTATCATACACGGTCGTTCCTTAAGTCATTAGCGAGTTTAATAGTAATACTATAATTTATGTAGATAAAATTTAATGCCGTTTCTACTAACGAACGAAGTGTCTAGAGGCACGATTCGTTAAAGTCCCTCGACGTCGAGGCGGGCAACTTTCAAGTTTATGAAAATACAATTAGCACGTGTCGCGTTCGTGAGGAAGATCGGTAATAATCAAAGAGGCTTGATGAGAGATAAAGAGGGCCACGACCTGAATTTCGCGGACAGACTTTATCGATCGAGAATATTATAAATTAGTCCTGAACCGAGGTTCTCTCGAGTCTCGGGGGATCCAATATTCACCTCCTACGCTCCTCAAGTACGGAATTTAACCAAATACGTAACCTCGCGTTTTGGTCTCGCCCTGAATCTCCCTCGAGGTTCCCGTTCATTAAAATTCATTTTTGAGACTTTGATCATCGGTAGGAATAACAAAGGAACAAACCGCGTTTGAAATTCGTAAAAGAAATTTCTTCTTAAGCAAGTATTGGCTATACAGTCAATCCCAAAAGTTTATGTACCTTAGAAAAACGCATTTCCTATAACTAAAAAGAAATCAGACGTCGGAAGAATAATGCTAATAATAAATAGCTACGTGCTAAAAAGTATAGAAGGAAATATCCAATTAATTATTGACGCTGGTGAAAAGCTTTTTATACAGAAATTTTAGGCACTGACATCCTCTACAAGAAAAGTTCTATGCATTTTTCTTCTAACTTCAGTATTTAACGAGTTAAGTATGATTATTTGGTATTTTATTGACATTGACAAAATCCGACCATCTCACCGTCGAAACAGCCAAGTTTTGACAAAAAATTTCGTTTTCCCTCAATTACTCCTAAACCGTTCGAGATACGGGAAAATTGCATATGACCTTTTTTGTAGAGGACGACGAGATCTACAATTTCTGTATAAAAATTCTTCGCTAGCGTCAATAGTTCACGAGTTATTGACGAAAAACGAAAAAACAGTTTTTCGCAAATAACTCGTAAACTATTAATGCTAGCGAAAACTTTTTGTACAGAAATTGTAGATCTCGTCGTCCTCTACAAGAAAGGTCTGATGGAATTTTCCCGTAGGACTAACGGTTTGGGAGTTATTCAGGAAAAACGAAAATTTCGCGAAATTTGAAGGGGTATCCCTTGGGAAAATCTCGGAAAAATCGAAAATTTTTTGTTGTTGTTTATTATTAGCAATGTTCTTCCGACGTCTGATTTCTTTTTAAAAAATGCGTTTCTAAAGTGTATAAACTTTTTAGATTGACTGTATAGCCAATACATCCTTAATAGACAAATATGAAAATTACCTTTCATGGACTGCTTAAGTTAAATGAAGATTAACAATCGTGTGTATGTTATGCAAAGTTTTCAGTTAATATCGAATTTTGAACGCGTGACTAACGAAACAGCGCAGAAATCGTCTCTTATCGCAGTCGATCGTCTTGCCGATAAAATCTGCACGTGATTTTCCTTGACGGCGCGGCAATGTCATAATCCCAGGAAACAGGAAGCGGGGAACAGGAAACCGACCATTATCGCCGGAAGAAATTTGAAAGTTGCCCCTTGTTCGTGGCGTCACGCCTCGCGTGAAATCGCCCACTGCTCGCACTAGCCGGGGTGATTTATACGCCCCCCTTTAAAATTTCCACCTCCGTAATCGACCACCCTCGGCGACATTTCCGTGAGAGACCAAGGCTTTCCTTTTTACGCCCCCGAATATATATCCACCTCTAGCCCGCGCGCGCGCGTGCTATACCTACACTCTATTTCTTCTGGGGTTACACGCTCGTTTATCAAAATGTTTTCCGTCGCGCTTTAACGACGAGATAAAATTGCCGCTACGGTAAAAAATCGAAGTGCTGCGTCAGTGTATACGAGCGGAGGGAGTGAATCTGAGTAGCGGGTAAGCATCGGGTAAGCTTGGAGGTTCCCGGCCGTAAATAGCGGGTTAGGTCGTCGGATCAGCGAAATCGAACTGCGAATTCTAGGCGCTGCGCGTGGAATATTAATCCGTCGTGGAATGGAAGACTGGTGTCGGTGGTCGTGGTTACGACGGAGCTTCGACACCGTCGTGACGAGTCGATTTTCTGGAACGCGTTACCGGCACGGCTCGCCACTGAGGTTCTAATAGCGTTAGGAAGCCTCCTGTTACCGGCGCGCGGCGGAAGAAATTTTGGAGTCATCCGGTTCGCGTTCGCGGTAACCGATAAATGCATACCTATGCAAACCCGGTGCTTCGCAGGCGGTATGAGCGGAACAAGCGGATCGATCCGAGTATCGGACGGTCAAGCTCGAACGCGAGCGGTGTTTAATTCATACCGGGAACGAAAACGATCGATTCGCGTAAAACAAACATCCAATACAGCTTACGGCCTACCAGCATTGCGGTGCGACGAATAGGAAACGCGAGAGTTTCAGAGTTCACGGAGTCGTATTCGGTATTCTCCACGGAAGGAATCGCTCTCGAGAGACGAGGACGACTTTACGCGGGCCCCTGTTTTCCCCTATGGAAGTACCAATAAATTTACGCGAATTTTCTCGCGAGAGCTATAGCTCCAGTTTCATCTCGACAACGAAAATGGGACGCCGCGTGAACTCTGGCCTCGGTGAATCTAATAAGTTATGGTTATTTAATTAGAATCGTTATTAAACTCCGGACTGGTTGGAACGCCTAACGCAGAAAATGGTTCTGTACTCTCTTTGAATTATGGAATGTCTCGACGCTAAACAAACGGGATCTTGACATTTGCGATGTACCCGAATGCAATGTTTAACGTCCGATCAGCGTACAGTTACTTCGATCCCTCTCCCAAAAACGAAGTCCCAAAGGGCGGGTCAGTTTCAATGAAAACTGACCGCAGCGTTGCTCGATCGGCGCGGTTCGACAGTGCGACAATCCCGAGGGCACACGCAACCTGCGCGTCATTTAACTGTTCAACTCTTTGTCCTTTGTTTGCGCCCTGTTACCACAATTGTCACAATGCCTAGGAAATCGAGCAACGATCCGGCGAATACGCGCATCGAACCTCTCAATGTTCACGTGCCTTGGCAACGATCAAACCACAGTTCTCTCCTACTCTCTGATTCACCGTGAATCAATTTGACCTGACCTTGACACTGAGAAGCGAGCTGGTAGCTTGTTCGCTGGCGAGGAGAACTTGCCCCTGGATGTTTCTAGGGATCGTGGACGGCGGGGCAGAGAGGGCTGAGAGGGTAAGGTGTGAAATATCCGGTGGAGCGAGGTGGAAAGAATAAAGATAAATAAGGGATAGTAGGGTTGAAAAGGAAGTAACGGAAGGAAGAAACAAGCAGTTGTATAAAAAGGTAACGCGAAGCAAGAAACATATAACTTATGTATGAGAGGGAGAGGGACAGAGGCGAAGAGGAAGGAGGAAGAGAGAGAAGACGTAAAATTGTGGGTTGTAGCGGTGTAGCATAAGGGATGGAACGTGCGATGGTAGGGTGGAAGGGTGAAGAGAACGAAAGGAGGGATGCTATGCTATGTGTACCGTGATGCAAGGGTGGGGCGATCAATACTGCTGAAACACCCCCCTGAAGCCGGCTTCATTCAGATTCACCAGCTCCCTTTCCATCGTGTCGTTTCTCTCGTGACTCCGAGCCACTGTAACGCTGTTACTGTACATATGTATAGTTGGCTATAGCGCCCCGTTAAGAGCGCAAGGAGCAACCGACCCCAACCCCAATCGGGTTTGATTGCGTTCCGAGATAATCGTGCTTTTCGATTTAATCGCCTTAAAAGGATGAAAGGATTCCTCAGGGAAAGACTATAGTTACTTTGATTTCCATCAATTTTACCTACCCTTGGGTCTTTTTTTATTTATTTCCCTTTTATCGCCAGATTTTCCAAAATTCTTACGATCAATAATTTTTCAAAGTATTAAAAATATGGAAAGCTACAGTTTTCATGATATTTCACACAAGACTATTTTATTTTTCACCGATCGATCGTAGGCAGCAAGCATATTCAATAGACCTATAAAAAAAAAAAACAAATCCCCAGGACAACGAATGGAGACTGATTGCTAACTTGAATGTCTGACTCGTGTATGAACAAACAAGGATAATATCTGTCCTACCAATCTTTGCACGACATCATCTAAGTTTCAACAAATTGCTACTTAGATCACGATTGCGACGATGATTTATAAGTACCGTAATCATTTCAATTGGTACGTTCAACACTTTGCTCTCCGAAATTATTTAAAATCGTGCTTGAAGCAAATTAAACGAATCTCAACGATTTCCAAGACGTTTGCATTATTCGTGTGCACAGATAATTGCAAAGTGAAATAATGAAACTGTCGAAAGGGTAATTGGTGAATATAATTTCACAGCAAACCAAAGAGTCTCAATCAGAAGAAAGTGAAACGTTCTGATGCGAGCACGACGCTAATTATTATCTATAGAGTGCAAAGTATTGCAGCGGATCGGAGGATTACGCGGCACGCCACGAACCGCGTTTTATATTACGAAACGATCGGTGGCTCGTATCGACGTCGATCGTATCGGGGCGAGCGTCGTCGTTGAATTTTCGCGCATCAATTAACGATTAGCCTGTCGGCATGGTGACTCTATCGAACGTTTCTAAATATACACTTGTTCCGTTCACAGGCTCGGGGCGCACGGAGACTCGAGACCGGCCGCGGCCGGCTGTGTCGTGCCGTGTTTGTGTGGCCTCGCTTTAGGTTGCCTACGGTCATCCTCTCGTGCTGAAAAACGTCATCATCGATCATAGGCCTCTACGCTTTATTAACGAGTCCCCTTTTAATGAATGAATTCCTTACAATTTTTATTTCGCCCGTTGTATACAACGTGTAACCCTCGCTACTTCCAGCTATTTGAGAAACACGAAGTCTCCTACGTATTTCATAATTACTTTGCCCGTCGAAAGACGAAACGGACCGTGAACCAGGAGCCACGAACAGCTGGTTTTACGGTTAGCT